AGCCCGTATGGGCCTTGTGAACACGGAACAGAGCGGAGAATCCAATTTATTTGTTATGATTGAACTTAGTTGGTAGGGATATTAGTCGAGAATGTGTTACCACTTCTACTATCCCTTGTAATGTTTGGAGTTTTTCATTGAACCAGAACAAGATCCGAAAGAAGGCCATAGTCTCGTCTCGTGCCAAGAAACGTAGAAATAATAATAATAATAGCGGCGAGATGCATGTTTACGAATGTAAGGGGCGGATGTTGGATGAGGAACCTCTGGAAGATTCATCGAGATATGATACGGTTGGAGTGCTTTATTAATGCCTTTCTTGACTGAGTTATAATATACGGTACGGTACGGTGGCCCTCACAAAAAAAAAAAAAGAAAAAAAAGAAAATACGGTGCCCTCAAATCAAATAATCAATCTTTCCGGCCTTTACTCCTCTTCTGGATGGACTGTCAGTTTATACTTTTCAGCTCTGGTATTCTTGATACACAATCACGTGCGGACGGTAGCATTTGGTCGGTGATGCTAAATTCACGCCTCTCTATTTTCAGATTCATGCTGCTCTTCATGTAGTGTAGTATTAAATCATTTTTTAATTTATAAACTTCCTCTGACTACAATTTTAGGCCTTTAGGGATGGATGGAGGCCATGCCGTGGCTGCTAACAGAGACGAGAGACGACAGTGGAAGACATTTTTCGATGCCGCCTTGTCCTTGCATTTGATTTACCCCTTTTCTTTGGCTACTAAATTGGGTACGACAAACACGAGGACCGACTAACTAAACTAGAGTTTGGTGTATTTATATGAACAAAAAAAACCGGGGGGGGGGGGGGGACAGATAGATACATACATACATACAGTACTGTATTGTATAATGTATAGTACTACGACTCATTCATAGTTCATACGTCCATAGTAAGTAAGAAAGAACCATGATGACTTCTCTCTCTCTCTCTCTCTCTCACTTGGTGAACTTGACATCTGGATTCCTGATTGCCTTGAGCCACATGTCAGCCATTACTCGCGAGGAAATGCTCCAGAGAATGTCCTCCTGTCCCTTGGCCTTGGACGCCTGACGCTTCCCCTTTTTCCCAGCTGCCTTTCCCAACCCGTACGCCACTAGCCACTGCATCGCCGTCAGCCTCTGCTTCTCAGAGTCCCATTCAGTCTTTCTCCCTCCGCTCCTGCCTTTTAAACCCCCAACCTGCAAGCTTCCAACTTTGAACATCTTTTCCTCATCATCGTAGCTGCCTGCGGGCTTTACTTTTGCGTCATTGAAAGCACTCGAATGGATTAGTGCTATCATTGGACCTCCAACCGCTTCGTATAGCCTGAGGGGATCCCGCAGCTGGACGACCACAGCGATTGTTATGCTCCCTGACTCACCATTTTCATTTCCGACCGCCTTTCTTCTTATCCAGTCCTCAATCGGAATTGCAGAAGCCAGCGGATGGCTGCCCCCCTCAGCGCTTAGCTTTGCACTCAGTGGGGAAACCTCAAACGGGGCTTCTTCTTCACCTATATCTGCCTGAACCTTCAGAGCTTCGACTGCCATGACCTCCAGCTTCTGCATTGAGAATGCCACAATCTCATCCACCACGACCGGATCTTCGCTCAAATTCCATATTCCTGTTGAAATCCTGTCCTGCCTTCCCGTGCTCAATGCAGTTGCCATGGATTTAACGGAAGCCAATGTGCGAGCTGCACTTGAGCTGGCTCCTTCTTTCTTTCTCCCCTGGATAATTGCGGAGGCAATGCCTTCAAAAGCAATCTGTTCTGCTGTTTTACCCTTGAGTTCATCCATAGGCATCAGAGACAAAATTCCGGAGCCAAGTTCCTCAAAGCCAACAGCAGCCATTCTCTGGAACAACTCAAATCCGGTCGTCGCTTTAGATGGAACAATCACGGGCCTTGACATCTGCATTGCCAGTTTTGGTGCGTCTTTTCTCGCAACTGCAGTGTCCAGAGGATTCATGGCTGCCAGGTAGCCCCCGTTCCTTGTCTGAGCTATGCAACCCAATCCCTTTCCGAGATCTGGTATATAGACCTTCGACTCAGCTTCTTCCGAGTCTTCATCCCCTTCCGACTTCGATTGGGGGATTTCATCATGATCGCCAAGCTTTTTTATCTCATTGCCTTCTGAATCCTCCAGCATTTGAAGAAACTCCCTCGTCACGGTTTCCTCTTCTGCATCTAACTTCTGTGACTCGGTGTCTTCGTCCGTTTTCTCTGCCTTTTCCTCTTTCATCATCGATTCAAGAGCTTTTATCCGCTGAGCAATCGAATCAAGCTCAGACAGTCTTGTGAGATGGAATTGTTCGTGGACGATTTCTTTTACAACCTCCCTCGAGACTGACCTCTTCTCAGAGTTCTCTTCGGATAGTGCTTCTTCTTCGTTCCCGTTATTGTCTTCTTGGAACTCAACTCCTTTGTCCACAACTTCAAAATCCGGGAGATCGTCCTCTATCTTGGCATCCGGAACTCCAGACTTGCGGGAAGGTGGACAAGCCTGGGGTGCGGGAGCTGGGTCGTCAAGATTCAGGTCATCGATATCCTGAAGATCTGCTCTTGCTCCAGTCTGTGAAGGGCTCCAAGCTTCAGCTCTGCTGGACAACTTGGGACTAGGGACGCTGAAGGACGACTTGGACTGTTTGCGGGCAATCGAAGATGAGGAGTTCTTGTTTTTTCCTGATTTTTGTCCCTCAGCTTGACTATAGATCCCAATACCACCATCTTTCTCCATAATCTGAAAACCCAATTTCAGAACAAGTTCTCCACCCTTGGCCTTTCCTGAAAGATTAAAACTCGTGTCCCATTGCTTAACCCGCGTACCTTGGAAGCTCTTCTCGATGGAGTCCTGAATGAGGTGACTCAAGTCCACAGAACTTCTCCCAAAATCAAGCTCTCCGGCGTCAACTGCAAAGACGTATATGACGAAAGGACGAGGCTCGAATTTCACGTGGGTTCCACTTCCAGGGGTGAAATAAACATGACACCGGATGAACAAGGTCTCTTCGAAATCAGCGGCGCCCTGCTGAACTCTCGACGGCATGGTCTGCACCGCTCCGTCCTTGGTTTCTTTCTTCCTAACAGAAACAGACAGGCGAAGGCCGTTCATGGAGGCCGGAAGGCCTTGAACTGCGACAACTTCGACAGAGAACAAACAGCTCAGCTTCTGCATGCCGATATGGGAGAGGGCTCGAATCGGCTTCCAACTCCAGAGGCTTTTCTTGTCAGAAGTATCAGCTGCCTTTTCTTGGTCCTCCAACCTGCTGAAACGGTCCTTGTTAGGGATGCTCCTGCCTTTGTGCTGGTCTTCCTCGGCGGAATCATTAAGCTTGGGGCGAGAGCGCCAGGGAGACAGGGACATGCGCCTGGATCGAGGCTTTGGATTGAGTTGTTGTTTGTTGTCGTCATTATTTGAGCTGTTGTCAGCAGCAGCAGAGGAGATTGGAGGAACGGAGGTTCTGGGAAGAGCAAGAGAGGCGGTCCTCCGGGTTGTGGAAGTAGAAGTGTGGGAATGGTACAGGGAGTGGCTGAGTGCTTCGAGTTCATTCAGTAGTTGGGTATTGTAATTCCTTTTGCCTGTATATTCTGCTGCCATGATTCAATTTGAAGCCGTGTTAAGTAAGAGAGCCCAGTTTCAGGAAGAAGATCAAGATCAATATAGTAGGACTAGCAGCAGCATTAATATGCTAGTGCGATTAGTCAGTTTCAGTTCATTCGTGTAGCCAGCAGTAGCAAGCAATACAAAAAGGCCGAATGTGGGAGTATTTGATTTGGTTAAGCGTTGATTTGAGTTGAGTTGAGTTGACGAAGAGGCCTTTTGCGGCCAAGAAACGTCCATGTAGGATTATCGTTTGAGGACCAATTACGGGGTTTTTTCTGAACCAGGAATTCTTATGGTCTTCATTTTGTGATGGATAAGGCAATTGCGTTGTTGCTCCCACACCCAATTGGCTATAATAATCATTACTATATATATACCAACCACTACCTCCCCCGCCAGGCAAACCCCTCCCAAAAGGATTTTGTAAATTGTACTACTACTACTGAGATGAGACATATAATAGAGCAGTGCCAGTGGCTGGCTTCTCAAAAAAGATTAACCCCTTTTCAATTGTAGATCGAGAATTCTAACTCTCTATTTTATAGTTTCTTGTATAATTTCTTTAGACTCCTTTCTTTATATAAAATAGAATAAATTAGATTATAAAATTTTTTTTTACATCATTCCAAAACAAGAAATTCTTTTTGCAATACATTCATTCACTATTAGCAATGTTATTGAACTCGAACCGGATAGCAATTCGACTAAACTATTAGGTCAGGAATCAACTAATCGGATCGATCAGACTATTTTCAAAAAATTCGTTGGCGTCAGTATGATGTCATAATTATTTTATATTTTTATAAGTTTTAAAAATGTTGAAATTAAGTTATTGGTTATATTCGACCAATCATATAAAATGTTCCAAAAATATTAGACTTGCAATCAAATATACACTTAATAATTATATATAAAAGTGTAAGTTCATGGATAAAATATGTCCATTCATCAAAACTACTTCAAAAACTAAATTAAAACAAAATAATGTAAGTTGGAATTACTGATGCTAAATTGATACGATCGTAGGGATGAAAATATTTTAGTTTAGAGATCATTCAGAAAAACGAATGATTTTGGTACTTACACTAAGTGGGTGGCTTTTTATATTCCAATTAATAAATGAATGTGTTATAATTTGGGTAAACTCAAATTATGTTTAGGAAAAAGAAGAAAAAAAAGTTCAAGAATCGAATCAACTAGTCGAACCGGTTCACTGATTTAACCGATTTTTTTACAGTTTTAATTGATTTTTAATCAAAACAGTTTTATACTACAAATCAATTCGAAAAGAAGATTGGTTCATGGTCGGATCGGTCAAACTAGCCAATTCGGTTTGGATCTAACAACACTACTATTAGTACTATCTTCGAAAAGATACTAGGAGGGGAAGAGACAAGGCATTTTTACATTTTGCTGAATTGGTTAGTAGGCGATTTTGGGATTCAATCAATCAGACGATTAGAGTGAGGTGAAAACTTTATTATTATTTTGTTTCATATTTTGTTTACCACCATGTTGCTTCGATTTTGCCACCATCATCAAGAAAGAAAAAGGGGAAAAAAGATTGTGGGTTTCGGGAAATATGGGGGTGGGCTGGGGATGTTTGTAACACAAGGGACGAAATGCAGATCGAGAGGAGGAGGCCAAAACCTTGATCATTTCATCTTCTTCTATAACAAATACTACTACTTATATAGTGAATAAAAGTACTAAGTAATATGCTAAAAGACAGAAGCGGAGTAGCCCAGATGAGATGAGAGTTAGAGATTGGATGTTACTGGGCTGGTTGGCCCTGCAGAAGAAGCACAGCGTCCTTCCTAATCCATCATCTGTTATCGTGAAGATTCAATCAACACCGTTAAAATCAATCTATCACCATTCCTCCTTCCGTTCAGGTGGTTGACGACGTGGTAGTGACTCCAACAGAGGAAAAAACACACTGCTCTCGTTTTCCCCACGCTTTTGGCAGTTGGGTCGGAGGCTTTTTATCTACTGGTCCGTCGTCCGGCCGGCGATAAATTTACAAAAGTTCCGTTCCCTCTCAGTCTCAACGCAAACTGCTGGGTGGAAATGAAAAGTGCTGTGAAAGTGAAGGAAGAATATTAATACTCCAGTAATAATGTTTTAGAAGAAGAAGAATACTGTAAAAGCAACATCCTTAAACGAAACGACGACGACGACGTCGACGACTTGTTCGCCCTCCTATCTACTTAGCTCCCACCTTCTCCCCACCTGCTTAGCTTTAACTAGTGGTGGTAGTCGTAAGGACTGAGTAATAGTGCCTAATATTATCATCCCAAAATCCACCTCTCTCCTCCCCCAATTTAAGTAATGTCTCGATTTTGATTTGTTTGTTTTCAAATTTTAGGGCGAATGAGATTTGCTCTTTTGTTAGCATAATAATGGCTTCAATGTCCACGATACAACTCCGACTTCATACCCTACCCTCATTCCAGGTAAAACTACCATCATCATATAATCATAATGTTAATTTTGAACTTGTATATTAGTATTTTTGCTTTCACTTTCTGTTATTCGATTTGCTGATTTCGATGCGTTTCATTATTATTTATTTGTTGTTCTTCCAAAAAAAAAAAAAAAAAAAGCGGCGGGATTTCCGTAGTCTTTTGGAATTCAGAACCGAATTGGGCATGATTAGTAGTAGCAGCAGTAGTATTACCGCTACTGGTTGTTGTGCAAGATGGAATGATTCTTCAACTAAAACTTTGAAGCGGAAGTTTGCGGTGAGAGCCTTAAGCGATCCTCCTCCTCCGGTAAAGGGCGATCAACACAACAACCGCCTTCAACATCAGCTCTTCACCCTCATTCCTCACAAACCACCAATTCAATCCGCACTCAACTCTCCCAATCCTACTCTTAACTTACGCCATGCCGTCGCTTCTCTCCCCACTTTTATCCTCCCGGTAATTGCTTTCATTACTAGTTGCTATATCTGTTTGCTAGGATTTCTTATCTCATGTCATGTCTGCTTTTCGTGAAATGTCTTTTTTTTCTTTTTTAAAGCTCCAATGCTGCAAATTCATCCTGCTTTGTCTGTTGCTAACATTTTAATAGGACTGTGTTTCTTATACTAACTTCAATTCTTCAACTACTAGCTAACCCAAAAAATTTGTCTTGCACTGCTTCAGAGTTGTGCCAAAATTTATTTTTTTTTTAAAAGGTTGATGATAGATGCATGATCAAATTGCAAGCTTTTAATGGGACTGTAAAAATTGAGAATCTATGGTAGATTTTTTTTTTTTTTTCTGGGTTGCTCGTTGCTTCTGTCAAAGGAGTGAATTGTCAGTCTGAATCTAATTTCAGTCTTTTCAGATGAGTCGATGGTTTCATTCAATACTATAGGGACGGGGTTATTGTCTTTGCAGCTACTGGGACTCTCACTGTATTGCTAAAGTTTTACATTAGCCCTCTTTTAATTATATATTCAGCATATCATAACTGTTATACTCAGAAATGTTTTACGTTGTTGCTGCTTTTATGATAGCCTGTATTTTTCTATCTGCCTTGCATCAAATGATTTCTTCATTTATCCAAGAAGAGTTTTCAAGTGAGAAACAATATGTGCCTCAGTGTTTAAGTTCTGCTAGTCTTTGAGTTTTGGCTTCTGTTTATGTTGCAGAAGAAGAAACACTTCACTCCCAGTTTTGCAACTGGGTTGTGCGCTGCAGCAGCCTTTGTACTTTTTGTGTTAAGGAGCTATACAGCAAGTAAGTCAAGATACAGCCGTCCTGGCTCTGTAGCTGATCTTGTCCGGCGTGGTCAGCTGAGATCTGATAGAAGAGGCATGTATGGTTTCTAAACCTGATACTGTGAACTGTGTGTGGGGGGGCTTATATGCTGAAAGATTATCTGAATCTGTCAGCTTTCTCTGCTTTTTAGAAGCATATTTCAACTATTGGACTTAGGGGCAACGCCCAACACCCTTCCCACTTCAGTCCTTGAATAGTTCATAGTCTGTGCTTCTTTTATCTGATAGAAGAAGAGGCATGTACGCTTCGGAAACAATTCCTGTTTTTAAAGTTCAAATGCTTCTAACATTGTTGGCGGATTGTTAAGTTCTACAAAAGAAAACTCAAAAACGTAAGACATAAGCATTGCCTGGTGGTTTCTTAAACTGAACTGTGTGCTTATAATGCGAATTTTGTCCAATTTTTCTGTGTAGCTCAACGCCCCTCAAGTATGAAGATCCATTCAATAATCCAATGGTGAAGATTGGTAAAAGCAACTCAACAATTGAGATGTGTGGAAAAGTATTCCGTTTAGCACCGGTGACCCTTACAAAGGACCAACAAACTATCCATCAGAAGAGGAGGTCACGTGCGTATCAATGGAAGAGACCAAAGGTTTTCCTTAAAGAAGGTGACTCCATACCCCCGGATGTGGACCCTGATACAGTCAGGTGGATTCCTGCAAATCATCCTTTTGCAACCACTGCAAGTGAAATTAATGAAGATTTGGCACAACACAATGTGTATCAAAAGCATGGTGTACCATTCCGTATACAGGCAGAGCATGAAGCTCTTCAGAGGAAGCTTGAAGCACTGCAAAACGTAAGCCTGCCTAATAAAGCTTTCTCCTCAATATAATTGGACAAAAGAGAAAACAATTCCATATACATTGACTTCATGGCTAGTTTAGCTGATTTAAGATACTCAATCAAGCAAAGTGGCCTTTGGTAGGGGTCTTTTGTATCCGTATACCTGATACAAAGCTTTATGAGCCTTGATCTTTATGGTAATTACCTAATACAGCCCTCAAGCTAGAATGTCAATTTTGTTGATGCTATTAGCTTGCTATGTTGTAGTCTATCTTGTACTTCTTGATGAACTACAGTGGTATCCTGAGGTCCTAAACTAGGTCATTTCCTGTCGGTGGGGGGCAAAGACCATAATGGTATCAACTATCAACCAAGCACTTGCATATTGCTTTGCTGTTTATGCCACATAGGTATATGTCCTACGATTGAGAATGGTGAGCATTTCTACTTTCTGTGTATGTTTGCATCTGTATATCGGTGGATGGATGCTAGTTGCGTCTAAGGATGATGGTTCTTGCTGTTCACCGCAGGTGTTGTTTTTCGGGTCTATGCATATGTAACTTATGCTGTATTTCATGACCCGGCAACTTTAATAACAAGCTTTTGGTGTCACGTTCTTGTGTGTAGGAGCAAAAACTCGGTAAACTAGTGATCGATCCTAGAGCTGCGCAAGATTTGGAGAGGCCATTTAAATCTCATTTGAAGCCTGAAGAACCGGTAGAACGGAGTTCCTCTAAGCACACAAATCCAGATTCTGCCCAAAATCCATTTTTGGACGGACCAGCTTCTGATGAGGAGGAGAAACCTTGAATTATGATCACGTTTTGGCAGTATTAAGTCTGGCTTCGAAAGTTTTAAGCTCGCCGACAATCAAATCAGTAGCGTCTTTCAGGTTTTACAAGTTTCAAGAGTTGTTAGGCCAGCCCGGCCACTAGAAGCGACGTGGAGGAGATCGAACTGTAAATGAATTTCCAGTTTACACTTGTAGATGGGTTCTGCGTAACATATTTGGTATTTCTGTACGTAGCTGCAGTTTAGGACATGCCTTTTCGTATTTGGTTTTGTGTGCTAAATCTGTCGCCATTTCCTTGACTTTGCATTAGATGCTTTATTGTATATTTGAAAAAGATTGAATATTTTTCCTCACTTTTTTGTTTCATGCTAAAGTTTAGCATTGTCGAGTAATATTGGGAGCAAGGAGAAACTATTCTTAGTATTTTATACTGAGGGCACCAAGTAGCTCTCCTGTTAGATTGTGGGAGAAAATAATGGAAGGGATACCCCCCTTGGCCTTGGGTTGTGATTATTTAGATAATTTCTTGTATATTATTTAATAAATACATATTTCAAGTACATGATAAAACTCACTGTTACAATGAATGATAGCCCCAACAAATTTTTTTTTATTCAGCTTCTTAAATACTACTGTTCCTCCCTGCTAGAAAAAAAAAAATGTAGAGCAATTTAAAAGAAAAAATGTAGAGCCCAACTGACATGTGAAATATCATACTAGAAACTTAAAAGAACAAACAACAAAGGAAAGCGAAATATAAGAATGACTCTTGCCTTGCGCATTCCTCCTCTCCATTCTTTTTTTCTTTTCCTTCTCATGAAGCACGCTGCAACATCCATCCATCATGAGTGCTTCAGCATGTACCATCTGCAGCTTGCTAGCACCAAAATATCACACAGTACACAAACAGGACTGGAGAAAATTTTTCTACTATTCTTGATAATAAAATTAACACATATGATAATTGGCGATGGAATCCTCAGTAATAAGAAAAAAGAAAAAGAAAAATCAAATCTCATCTCAATCAAGTAGAGCTACTTTTTAAGTGGCAGCAGGCTTTTTCGCACCAACAGCAAAGAACTCAGTAATGACTTCAAGGGGCATGCCCTTGGTCTCTGGAACCCTCAAGAAAACAAATACCCAGGAGATCACACAGACAACAGCATAGATGCCAAACACACCGGCCAAACCAATGGAACTAAGCAACACAGGTAGCGTATAGGTGACAATGACATCACATATCCAGTAAACCAAGGAACAAATGGCGATGCAGAGTCCACGGACGCGTGTAGGAAATATTTCAGCACAAAGAATATTGGGAACCGGTCCATATCCCATGACAAAACAGCAGAAGTATAGCACGACGCACAGGGTAGACATCACAGCATGTGCTATGGTGCCGAGATCCACCACATTGGCAACAACCAGAATAACCAGTGACACCGTAAGAACCGGTATGGTCGAGAGCAGCAGTGCCCTGAAACAAGTGATTTGACAATTTACTTTGTGTTAAACCTAAGCAAGAGGAGCTGCACACAACAACCTGGACAGTCCTGTGTCAGATAACAAACTTGACATCTAGACTACCATAACTCCAACATCGAAATAAATATCAGTTAGGACAAGTAATTCTTCAACAGAAATGCGAGTAGCCACATGCATTAAATGCCAGCTGCATCATCATCAATTGCAACACTAATTACTACATGTTACGACACAAGTATCTTCAATTGGGCCCCTTCATTTTCACTGCATTAACGGTGCGAAGGATTGGTTTCTTCAAGGATTTTCAGTTGGTTATTGAGAGAGATGCAATTTCAGTTACTTTTAGATGACACAGAATGATGATTAAGATGCCCTGCCAAGTCATCTAAGTCCGTGGTTCACAATCTACCTACAAAGAATGGTAGCTCTCCTAATGCACTTGTTTCAGAGGTGCATATTTTGCCAAAGATTCAGCCGCAGCTCATAAACAAGAGCAGCTCAAAGAGTGTGGGATAAAAACACAAGTCATGGTGCAGTTCATATTCAAATTTTTTGTCCTGCATAACTCAAAACAGTTCTAAATGGTTTCTGGAAAATGATGGAAACGCTATCTTACTTCCATGCTTGAAGTAGGAGATGCTTTTTAGATGTGCTGACGAATAAGTCGGTTCTAGTGTTAAATGCAACACAAACAAACTAGCGAAGCAAAATTGAGAATAATACGCACAATAAAAAGATAAACCTTGTATAAGAGGGGGAAAATGATAAACAAGTTACCTTCTACCAGACAGATCCATGAACCACATTGCAACACCAATCGATGGAAGCATCAAAAAGTTTGTTAACGCACTTATAATGAAAGAAGCAGAGTCTGATCCAATTCCAAGATTGGAAAGAAGAACCTCAACTCCTGCCTGTTCTAGGATTTGTGGAGTATAGTACATTACCCCATTTATTCCAGCAAACTGCACAAACAATGACTCACAATAAGACCGAGACTGAAAAAAGTCAAGACATCGGACAAGATGCACTCCTGGTTAGTAAGTTTCACAGATCAGATACAAATCAGTGAAGCACCAAAAGGTGAAGGAGGCTTGCCATTCATGATATGCAATACGCACTAAATGTTAGTGAAACAATTATCTGTTGAAGGAACTCCAGGGAGTGCATAAAAAAGAAGTTGATGCCAAAACTACCATGATTTTCAATAGTTGCAGCATTAGAGTTGATGCTAAAACAGAACGGAGGAAAATACAAGACACGTATTGGGTGCTAAATTTTGTTAAAGTGACTTTGTCACGACTCCAGAAGCCCAATTATCGCATACCAATTTTCAGTTGTTACCCAAGCCAAGCAGATTGCCAATCCTGAGGGCTAAGTACAAAGCTAGATCTCTTGCTGCTTTTATGGCAACAAACAATCAACACACCTCTTCCAAGAGAATTCAAAGTCCAGCAGAAACCCATACCAAACAAGATTAAAAAAAATACAACAGAATCTCCTTGGAGACCAAAAAAGAACAAAATTTTTGAAAATTCTAAATACAGGAAAAAAAAATCTCAGGCGACATGATGATACTTCAGACAGGCGATAACTAGTATATAGCTCACAAATTGAGAACTGTCAAATCCATTTTACAATGATGAGATAAAAACAATAACAGATGGACTTGGATATAGGCTTTTGTCAATTTCTCATTTTGGAAAACAAGCACAAAAGTTGAAGAGAACAACTTAGGCCAACATATTGCTTACCTGCTGCAAAATTTGAATTCCCATACCAACAAGTAACGCACGTTTAACTCCTGGTTCAAGAACTGCAGCCCAACCTGGACCTTTTGTAGCGGTTTCTGATGGATGAAGCATTGCTGGTCCAACTGGATGCTGATTTATAAGCTCCATGGAATAAAGAGCAGGTTGGCTTACCAGAGCCGCAGCCTGGACAAACTCAGCATCTTCAGGAACATCACCACCAGGAAATGAAACAACGGACCCACGCAAGGACCCTGGGCCTGCCTCTTCATGCATAAAGATCCTTTTGAAGCCACCTTCTTTTCTTCCATCTCCACCCTCTCTCTCCGACCATCTCCACGCTATTTGCCAACCACCACCAATGCCCATGCTACCAACAGGTTCTCCAGCATTGTCTTTCATGAGGCTACTATGACGTCTCATACTCAGGATGCTTCCATGAGAAGGAGGAGCAACCATGTCCTTCTCTAGGCTCGTGGTTTGGCGTGAGATTAATGGACTCTGCAAATTACCATCAGAGTCTGCACTAGCAGCATCTGATGCATAACCTTCCCCATCCCTCAGAAGGCTCTCCTCATCCCATTCTTCATTTTTGGCCTGTGGCTCTGTTGTACTGATCATACTTCCAAAGTTTGGAAACAGCATGCTACGCATACTACCCATCTCAGGGACCTTCTCATGGACACTGCCAAAAAGGGTCACAAGAGGATCCATCAAAGGAATGCTTTGGTTAACCATGCTTCCTTGGCGGGAAACAAGGCCAAGAGTACTCTGACCGGTGACTGGTTTGGCAACCCAAGACATGCCTGCTTCAGATCCATACAATTTGATCTGTTCTTTTCCAGCAGCTGGAACCTGATCATCAGTAACTTCATCAGCTGGACCAATCATGTACTCTTCTAAAGATGTTTCACCATCAACTGCCAAACCTTCAACAAGCAAAGCCATCTCCCCTGCAAACAAAAGAAGCATTAATACAAGTATTACATGCAAAAGTTTCTCCTTTTGTTTTCTGAATATATGTATGAGATTGGAATAAGAGAAAAAGTTCTGTGCTCAATCTGCAACCCATCAAGTACATCACACCCCATCCCCTGGGGGAGGGGGGGGGGGGTTACAAAGAGAGGGAGAAAGGTCAAACTTGTAATGAACAACAAATCATCGACTTAGTTGCACAAGCTAGTTCATGTAGGAACATGGTAAACTCCATTCATCTACAGCAAGGCTGAATTTTGAAATCAGATTAGCATAAATACCTATGCATAAACTTATGTTGTAGAATGGGGAAAACAAAAATAAAATAAAATAAAGATGCACCTGAAACATCTTCCTTGCCACGAAGTCTCTGCAAAACTCGTTTGGCCTCAAGCATCCTTCCTTTGCTCACAAGCCATCGAGGAGATTCAGGTAAATAGAATACTGTTAATGCAAAATAAATTAGTGAAGGAATAGAAAGGACTCCTAGCATTAACCGCCAGTTTGGTGAGGTCATCAGGGACATCCCAAATATCATACAGTAGGCCAAAAACATTCCAGCAGAACCAGCGAATTGCGGTAAAGTATTAAGTGATCCCCTTATCTCTGATGGAGCAGTCTCAGATATGTAGAGTGGCGTTAAAGTGACTGCCAACCCAATTCCAAATCCATCAAGTAGCCTTGCCAGAAGTAGGACATAAACATTTGGCGACCATAGCATGACCAAGCCACTGAAAAAGTAAAAGGAAGATGAGAGAATGAGCATCGGGCGTCGTCCAATCCAATCTGATATGGAGCCGGAGCAAGTTGTGATGAGGGTAGCACCAATGAGTGACATGGCCACAACTAGCCCTTCCACAGTAGCCTCCAAATCAAGCTCTTTTTTCATGTAAACAACAGCACCTACCAATATGCATGAAAAAGTAGCAAAATCAAAATAAAAACTATAAAAACTTAACTGGTTCATACATATGAACAGCATGATATAAAACCTCAATAGAGCTACCTAGATAATATCCACCACGTTTGAAGACAGAAAAGACAGTAGAAACACACTAATAAATTCATTTTGGAAAATAAGAACGGCACCTGGAACTTATCTTCCAACAGACACTGATTGAAAATATTTCAGAATTTAAAAGTTTATAATTTTAAACTAGAGCACAAGAACAAGTTACCTGCGATAGTAGCATTGTCCCAACCCTGCAAAAAGTTGCCAACTGTGGCAGACAGAGCAACAAAAACAGCCCCTTTCATTTTATGTTTCTTCTTTTTTTTTTCTTTAATGCGCAATGTTTTGAAATGCTCCCAAACTTCAGGGCTTAATCGCAACAGAAAGTTTGAGATTAATGCCTCCTACAGCGGGATAAAAATATTATTACGAGCTGGAAAAGACTAGGGACGGGTAGTAGAAAGAGCATAAACTGAACAAAGATAAAAGTGAAAACGATCCACAGCTATGAATCCTCAAGCGAGCAAACATATTGCTTACCCTTTTTGTGAGGGCAAGAAAGGGCAGAAATTAACGGCAAAGAATGCGGAAAAAAAATTCTGAGAATTCAAGGACCAATCTTTCTGTGTCTACTTATACAAGAGAGAGGTGGAAAAGAATAGAATAATCTAAAGGTGACACAGACAGCTCCTGAAGCAGTCAACTTGGCATACATTCACAGAGGCACAAATGCCCACAATCGTTCGGTGCGCCGGGGAATAGCACAGTTGGGTGGTGTTTTGTCGGGTTATTCCAGGGGCTTACTGACGAATTAACTGCAATATGAAAAGGGTTCTTATGGAAGAGGGAAAATGGCAACGTCTAAACCAGGATGAAGAGACCCCAACCCAGCATCTTGTCATTTGTCAAGCACTCCATAGTTCACTCAGTCCGCTGCATCTTAATCGTAAAAGGCAGGTCTTTCGGAACGATATTGGTCGAGAAATGTCTATGACTAAGCATGAAAGCAGAGCTGCAGAAACAGTAAGCCAATAGTCTTTTTGACAGAGGGCCAAGTGAAAAGAGAACCTTGATTTTCCAAGATTGGTGGAGAAAGGAACATATAATGAAAGTAGGTGACAAGGATGAGTAGAAAACAGTAGTGTAGTTACACAGGAGAACGAAGTAGGAGGGGAGGGGTGGAACAAGCGAAGGAAGAAGAAGAAGAAGAAGAAGCCAGAAGAAGGTGAGATAGTCGAGAAGAAGACAACAAGAGATGCTGACTCGTAACTTAGCCTTTCTTTTTTTCCCACTAAAGCCAGCGGTCCAACCAAAAAGTCCTTTCCCCACCTTTAAAGTACCAGAAAATTTACACCGGTCAGTATTCCATTCATCATCGGATTTGGGGCAGGGACCCTGCACGGTTGAGGGTCAAGATTGACCCTCAAAATTTTGTGCGGCTGAGATTATACCATGTAATTCGATTTTCGTGTCAAGTGTGAATCTCATCACTATCTGTTGTGAAAATACATCCTGTGAAAAAAAAATTACACGATGTACAAAGAAAGTTACATGATGTTGATAATGACCAAAATTGGCAGGTGCAACCGTCCGTGTCCCGAGTCCATTCATCATCAATCATGTCGTTTCATCCGCCGCCTAGCCAATATTTTCCCTGCGACGACAACTCCCTTCTGTGTATTTTGAAAGGGTAAAAGACCCACGAGAAGTTGGGCAAGACGACGGTAGCGGGAAACCTTCAATGATAGCATAAACACGCCATCCTTTTCCTACTTAGTGGCAAGATAGCGACCCTTGCCACAAATTAAAGTGCCACAGCATTTTTCCCCTGTTTAGTTTGTAAAACAGCACTTAGAATTCTAACTGAGAAAATACAATTGGATCACTTCAAAAGGGCAAAAAAAAAAAAAAGGATGAATTACATACACGCTACTGTGATTCATCTGATAGAAAATAGTTTTTGAAGATTCAACTTTATTTTCATGTTTATTGATTTTTAGATCTGTATTGGTTGATTTTCAAATGATATTTATGTGGTCGATTGATTTTTAGATCTTTTTGTACTTGTATTTCTACGTATTTGTATTATGTTTCATGTGCTTTCTGCTGCTAATAGTAGTGTACATATTGCAATCAAATTGTGCTTTTTATTAGTATTAAAAACCAAAAGAGAGCAAAAAAAAAATAAAATACAGTCGGGCTAATGCTGACAAAAAAAAAAAAAAAAATGGGGCGCGACAGGCTGGCTGGATTTTTCTTTCAATCTTTATCGTTTCCCAAAATTCTTTCTTATACTAATAATAAGTTACTGATCGGTTCTAATTAAGTAGTGCTGATTAGCAAGTACATTTTGCTGCAAAATTGATCACTATATTAAATATTACATTGCTGCGAAGGCACTAGTTGCAAGGGCGATTCCTTGATTGAATTTATTTCTAGGTACTACTTAGGTTAATAGTGGGAAAATGAATGAAATGTTTGAAGAAATAAAACCGTTTTGCCTGACATAAGGAACAAATCCACATGCAGATGAGATGATCGTCAACAGTCGGTCGGTCTCTTGGAAAAGTTGAGTTGAGACTTGAGAGAGTGGTGTTATAATTATACTAGTATGGTTCTGGCCGTGCTACGCAGCGGCCCAACTGATATGATCAACTAAATCTGTAACAATGAGAATAATTTGCTAAGGTTCAAGAGGTAAATAATATTAGGGATAATGATATTAAAAATTATTTTTCTCCATCCTAGGATACAAGTTCAAAATTATTTTTTTATTTAACGTACATCATATTAAAAAAATAATGATTTTTAAAAAAATTATTTTAAATAATTTTCTATCAAAACATGCTTGCTTAGGGTCTATTTGTATCAATGGAAAATTTTTTCAAAAAAATGTTTTCCCTTTTTTCTGATGTTTGGTTGAAAAAGCGTTCAAAAATTTTTTTTCTAGAAAAAAGGTTTTACTCTATCCAATGGAAACCAAACTTCTGCAAAGGTTTCAGTGAATCTAAATCAACGGTATTGTTGGTTACATTATCTTATTCAATTGTTCATAGAATTTTCTATGAATGCTTTAAAAAGATTTTTTTTAACCGTTTTTTTGACTCTCAAATTGATTGTGGTGTTTAACATGGATTGTCTATAGTAGTAGTAGAGAGATACTAACCGATAATTATATTAGAATGCGAATTTTTCAAGAAAATGATTTTTAGCGAAAAGATTTTCTTGGGGAAATTATTTTACAAGCAAACAGACGGACCCTCAAGTGGCACTACTTTACCACTGGGACGTTGTTGCGCCCCACCCACTCGCGGCCACATTTTACCATGCAAAACCATACACACAGTAGTGAGCTCTCTCTTGCGGCTCTCAGTTGTCACCAATACAACCTCTCATCAAGGTGGAGCAACATTTATTTTTAATCAGCAGAAAATAGCACCAACCGAACTCAAAAATGAATACAACGGTGGTAAAATGAATACACTTGCGACGGTAAGATGTCATCTTTGGCTTAAGTTTTCTTCCGCAAATGAGATGAAAAGACGGCAAGTTCTCGGCAAATACAAAAACTGCAAATGCTCCCAGCACTTCTTTTATTGCGTTTAACTCAGGTAGACGGCAAAATTTCAAACACTCCTAGAGCAATAAAACAGTGGTGGAACACAAATGGCTACTATAGTTCAAAACTTTCTTCTTTGATAACCGAGTACACGACGCTACATATCGACATGGTTGGTCAAATATTGATCATCCACACATATGTTTCAAATTTTAAATAATCACACTTCACTTCTAGAGCCAACATGTCAATGTTCATCAACTCCCATTTTGCTAGGAAATACACAGCTAACCTTGCTAATGCATCTGTTGCGTTATGCTGCTTGTATTCCATCCACTACATTCTTGGGGATCCGCAGATATTTGGACTCTTTCACCCAACTTCAGCCTTCACAGTAGGGCACCTCTTAAAAGTCGGGCAACCCTTGAAATTAAAAAACAGAAGAAAAAGCAAAGATAAGTTAATCCGAAGAATTATCATCATAATTATATTCTTTTATGCATAACATCAAACACATAATAGTCTTTAATTAATGGAAGAGAATATAAACAGAAGGTAGGAACATTAAAAAAAAATTGCAGTTCAAAATAGGAGGAGAGAATTTAGAAGCGTGCCTATGTTTTCTTTGCTCAGCTGAATGCTGGCAAAACTCGGAAACAGAAGTATATATAAGGCTGGCAATAGTAGGTTTTGGAAGCTGTACCATAGATGATAACTCGGTACAGCAGTCATCCCTAAATCCCTAAAGTGAGCAGATTTTGGAGGAAAAGAAATTTCAGTGAGCCGATTTCTGGGACAAAAGAAAACTTCAGATGCATGTGGAGGATTTTTTCGGTGGCAATCGAAAGAAAGTACAATTAGTTGTTGGAGGATTGGTAGAAAACTGAAGATTTTGCAGGATGATAGATTTTGGGGAAAGAGAAATTTAACTGAGCTGAATTTTCGGGCAAAAGAAAACTTCACGTGCATGTCGAGGATTTTCTGGGCTGCAATAAAAAAGAAAGACAATTAGTTGTTGGAGGAATTGGTAGAAAAGTGAAGATTTTGCAGGAAGGACAATTAGAAAGGGGAAGCAAGTTCTAGCTACCTATCCGACGGAAAGAAAGGGAAAAAAACTTCACTTCATTGACTAATAAGACCATTAGGTGGTGTTGACTAACTTACATGACAGAGCAACCAGTTCTAACGGACATGACACAACAATATTTTAATTCCAATCAATAATTCAAAAACAACCCATGTGATAAAAGGAGTCCATAAATAGTCCACAACTATTTGCATTTGACCAGAAAATTATAAAAGAAATAATTTGAAATGTACAAAAATAGCCCTAAATAGTTAGTAACTATTTAAAGAGCTAGTTTTCATAAAAGGATTCAATTGACCTTTCTGACCAATTAAAAACCAAACAAAAGGAACAAATGAAAATAATTAAACCATTGTTACCAATTAGCCCCTAAATAGTAAGGAACTATTAAGCCTTTGAATTTGGATACCAAGGCTCAAATAGACATTTCTCTCTCTTTAATGTCCAAAATAAAGAAATGAAATTTGTTTCCTCAAATGAGACCTTGACACTTGGCATCAATGGAGAACTTGAGTTGTTCTCTTATCTAGTTGGTAGATATATATAGATATAGGTATATGATTGCCGGGCGGGATGGTGGAGTGATTTTTTTATTTGAGCCCTGTACCTATTAGTATTAGTATTACTTACAGTAGTAAATATAATGCTTATGAATGAATAAGACAGTTGCAGCTACAATGAGTTGCGTGTCGAGATAACCAACCAACCAACCAACCAACCCGGTGGATGATTTGATGCATCATCGTGGAATTGCTACGGTCCCTACCCGAATTGCTAATCATGAGGTGGCGAAATTTTTAGTGGTAATAAAAGTGTTACGTACTACTCCTCCTCCTTCTTCTTCTTCCGCTGCATTATTACTGTTCAATTCACTGTAGTAACCGTGACACGTGTACAAATGGGATGAATCTACATTTTTAAGGAATTAACTAGTTGACTTAAAATGGCAATTGACTTTTGCATGTTCAAGTGTTGACTTAAAATGGCAATTTGAAGAAGAAAAAAGACGTAGTGGTCATAATATATATTTTGTTGGCTGGCCTGGCTATATCCTATATGGAGAGGAGATAGAGATGACAAATTGCGGGAGCTTAGCAAGTTAAAGGCTGAAAGAATGAATGTATTGGAATTCGGTTAACGCGGATCATC